ACCAATATTGTTTACAAAACTCACACCGTACTACCGTTGAACGTGTCTCAGCCATGCAGACATTGCTCCCAGAAGAACCTGGAAGTCACCCTGACTCTGCCCTCTCCCTCATCCCCAACTCCTGTCAATCAGCAGGTTCTGTCCACTTACCTCCTAACTAGGTCTCCATACCCACTGTTATTATTACCCTAGTTTAGGCAACCATCATTCTTTGCTGCCTTTTTTTCTCTTCTTATACCTTCAGGCCCTACCCGAACTATATTTGCTGGACAAACAGACCACATTCAGTCCCCTAAAACAAGCTACTTTCTCTGTTGACTCCATACTTCTTCAAACCCTCTGTGAACACATGAGGCCATGTATCCAAAGCATAAGAAAAGGCGGGATTCCAAGTATACTTGCCAATACAGAGTGTTATCATTCTATATCAAATTTGCCAATTTAATGTGAAAAAATGGGTGTTGCCATCTGAAGGATCATTAAAAGCAAAATGCCAACCCATCACAGGTCAATAGTTTTATAAAATAGAATAAATCATGAATTACTAGAAAAAGAATTTTAAAAATCAAATTCAAATAAAAACCACAATGAGATATCACCTCACACCTGTTAGAAAGATTATCATCAACAAGACAAATAATAACAAGGGTTGGAGAGACTTTGGAGAAAAAGGAACCCTCAAATGTTGTTGGTGGGAATGCAGAAATTGTGCAGGCACTATGGAAGGCAGTTTGGAGGTTCCTCAAAAAAATTAAGAAAAGAATTAATATATGACCCAGCAATCCTCTCCTGGGTATCTACCCCAAAAACCTGAAAACATTTATCCATAAAGATATATGTACTCGGATGTTCATTGCAGCTTTATTTATGGTGGCCAAGACATGGAAACAATCAAAGTGTCCTTCCATAGATGATTGGATAAAGAAGGTGTGGTATGCATACACAATGGAATACTACTCTGCCATAAGAAAAGATGAAATACTGCCATTTGCGACAACATGGACAGATCTTGAGATTATTATGCTCAGTGAAATAAGTCAGGCAGAAAAAAAAAGTCGAGAACTATACGATTTCACTCATATGTGGGACATAAAACTGAAAGCAACAAAGGAACAAGACAAACAAATAAAGAAACAAATAGTCATAGACACAGACAACAGTTCAGTGGTTACCAGAGGGTTAGAGGGGAGGAGGGATGGAGGAAGAGGGTAAAGGGGGTCAAATATATGGTGATGGAAGGAGAACTGACTCTAGATGGTGAGCACACAATGTGATCTATAGATGATGTATTATAGAATTGTACACTTGAAACCTGTGTAAGTTTGCTAACCATTGTCACCCCAATAAATTAATTTTAAAAAAATCACCAAAGCACAATATAATAATTTTTTGTTATTAGATTCAATAGTCATAAAATTGTTTTGAAGTTTCTAAATGCTTACACTCAATTTTTGATCTTACCTCATAGAGGGTTGTATGCTGAGTGGCACTGTGTTGTGAGAAAGTACCTATCTGGAGGTAAGGAGGTCAGACCAAAACACTTCAACAAGACCGGGATATAGCAAGCCTTGAGGGCTCAGCTCTATTCAACCAGAAGAAATACTACTAATGGAACAGGCTTCATGGGATCTGCACTGGGGCATGATGGTGAAGAAAGGTTACTGTGGAACAGTTCACAAGCTTACAATTTCACCACTTAGTTGTTGCTTTTTGTATTTATATTTATGTTTTTATTTACCTACTTATTTATACTTTTTTTTAACACAATATGAATGATCTGAAATCAAAGCACTACTTTATTACTTTATTCCTTTGGAGATATTCCCCAGGTTTCTGGATAGGAGCTCGAACTGCTAAAATGCCTCATTCCTAAAATATTTCTCAACTTTTAATGCCACCAGTATTCCTGACAGAAAGAGTTCCAAAGAAAAAATATGTCCATACCTATGCCTCAGTTGTATGCCACCAACAGCAGTAATTCTCGGGCCAAAGTACTTTTTTTTTTTTTAATCATATGTTGTGTTAGGTCCTGAATACATCCCCAGGAAAGCTGAGATGTGTAACAGTTGCTTAGCAGAGATTTGGCCAGTAAAACCAAAGGCTGGAGTGGGGTGAAGGGGAGTGAAGAGTATTTGTTATAAAGAGGGCAGAAAGCACCTTTAGGGGTAAACAAAAAGGCAGCTGGGAAGATGAAGATGATTTATAGATGGCCAAGAGATAAATGGCCAATATTTTTTCCTTGGATAAATCTGTATTACTCAAAGCCATACGCGTTATAAACTATGAGGAACTGAAAACTAAGAAAAGCCAAAGGCTAGCTCATACACATCATTATTCATTGATAAAGAAGAAAGACAAGACCTAGTTGAAGGCTCAGAGTAATGACTTTGAGGATTTTTATCACAAAAGCCTGGGTAGATTGTAAATATGAGGCAGAAGAAGAGCATGAGTGTCACTGGGATCTGTTTGAGGAAATCTGAACACTGTCTCCTCAATCCTGCTTACAGGGAACACAGACTGGGGCCTCAGGAAGAGAAATTTAAGAGAAGCATAATTTGCTCCTATGCCAAGTTCAGAATGAGTTGAATGAATTCAGATGATCAGAGGGCTGAGGGTTCCACAAACCACAATTATGGATGTTTGGGCTTTTCCAGTTACTTTTTTATATAGTGGGGATATAGCCTTAAAATTGCATAGCCTTTAAGTTAAAAATCCTGAAACAGCTTGGTGAGTGGGAAAGGAAACTGGCCTTGATTTTAGGAGCCCCAGGTGCAGACTCCACTCTTCAGGAGCTGTTCATCTGACCTCCAGCGATCAGCAAACCTCTCCTTGTCTCAACCTCGTTACCTGAAATACGGGGAGAAAAGTCATCCCTTGTGTTATTTGATTCCCCACATTGCCATAAGTTTCAAATCAGATCATAAGTAAGAAGTGAGAAGGAATAAACTGACTGAGATGTGTAAAATCTGAGTCATGGAAACATACACTTAACTATACCTTAACTAGGCCTTGCTTGATCCATTAGAGATGGAGTAAATACATTTAAGGCATTTATTTATTTAAATCTTTAACTTATTTCAGATAGTTTTTAAGGTACCTGTTTGGGCTCCATTAATGAAGTCCATGGGACAGTCCATTAATCACTTATGGGACAGCATTTTCCTTCTCATGAGGTAAAACTGAAGAACTGAAAATTAAAATATGGTAGATTTTCATTTTTACTGTTTTTGTTGTTGATGTTGTTTTATAAGCTTTATGCTCCTCCTCATCATCAAATATTTCTTATTGGAAGTGGACTAGAATCAAACTACTGATCTGGATGTTAATTCTTCCTCTGTCATTAATTGTTTGGTGTTCTCAAGTCATTCCTTGTGGCTCAGGGCAGAAAACCGACACAACACCAGCATGGTACTACTGCTCTAGGTGTGCCTGGGGCTTTTGATGGGAGAGAAAGAGAGCAGTGACATAAGACTGTGGGGTCCAGGGCTCCACTTTTATTCCTTGCAGCACTCTTTCAACTCAGAATGGCACTCAAGGCAGCTGTAAGAATAGGCCCAGCCCCTGGGGGCCCAGGTCTCTGGGTCCAGTTTGCTGGCTGGCAGCCAATCTCATTTTTTCCAAGACCTGCCTTATATGTAGATACCCACAGCGAGGTACAGAGGAGCAGCTGCTAACCTCAAAGAACTTTAATTGTTGGAGCCCTATTTCCATTAATGTGCTTTTCTTTGTCTCTATCTCTCCAATAATGGCAAACAAATTAGCCCAGTTTATTACATGGAAAATCCTGTAATGGTGTCCGGTACATTTTAGCACTGAGGATTTCCCACAATACCATGTCTACATGCTAGAAAGAAGGAATAGCCTCCAGGGAACATTTCTCATTTCCCAAAGAAACATTTGAACTGATTTTAAACAGATTTTATATTGCTTTTCAATATTTAAAAGGAGGTGGGGGAGTAAAATTTAAGCGTCTGAATTCTAAGCAGTTTCTGGTGAAAAGGCTAGGTTTTAAACTTCGTTACTTACCTCTACATTATTATTGTAGGAGATCAGCAGACTCAAAGGTATCATCAATTGAACTCAATCTCTGGACTCTGAGAACACTGAAAAGCGGGACTGCAGCCTTTTAACGTTCTATCTAGAAGCTTATCAGCTTGGGTGCGATGGTCATGGTCCTTAGCTGTCCAAAAGAGATGAAAACCAAGTGTATTGCACAAGTGGGTTTAAAATTCACTGCGATGGTTCCTATGATCGTAAGAGGCCTGGATACCTAATTATCCACCTAAAACTTTGAAAAAGCAAAGGTAGGTAATGTTTACAGCTGATAGTTTTTGTTTTAAGGTCACTGTTTCCATCATTAATTGCTTTTACTGTTAGATACAAGATTCAATGCAAGAGAAAATGCTCAGCTGGACAGTATATAATAACAGGTCATTTCAGAAATATGACTATTGGCAGAGGTTTGTATATAGCACAAAAACACTAAACAAAATATAGTAATAATTCCAAAAAATATCAAAGAGATACAGGATGTTATGATTAAAGATAAATGGAGTTGAAACATTGAGAATAAGTAGCATATAACAAAACAAACCTTAGAGAATGAGTACCATAGACGGATAATGTTGAGAGACAGCATTACACTCCACTACTTGCAAACTATGTGACCCTGCATACGGTACTTAAGGTTTTTGTCCCTTGGAAAAATGGTGATCATTACAGTACACCCTTCACAGCGTTTCTGTGGGATCACATGAGGTAATATATAAAATGTTTTCAACACAGCATGCCCAGTGCAGGTTTCCTTGTCCTGCTGCTGCTGTGATTACTACCATTCTTACTGCTATTACCAGTATACTTCCTTTGCTAGTTTTCATACATTTTTCCAGAGAAAGTTATACATGTATTCCAAACTCCTGTATCCTCATTCTGAGAAATGCTATTGAGAATCTCTGAAGACAGAATTTCCACTTATAGGGCCGTGGATTTAGCTGTGGACTGTTCACAAAAATTTGTGAAATTTCGAAAAAGACAGAAGTACTGCTGAAATTCTTTAGAAATACTCTTCCTGTGGAGTAGCTTTTGAAGAAGCATTTAAAACTAAGGGGTAGCAAAATTCTACCCCCGCTTGGGGTGAGAGTCAAACGCAGACACAATGGCCAAGAAATGGTGGTCTATACCTAAATTATTGTTAATGGACCACAAACCTATCTTAGAAGGCAGAGCTTGCCTAACTAAATCTTTATCCCGTTTCTTGGTACCACTATTTGGAAGATTCAGATTCTTCAGTTTCCTTCATATCCTTCTTTCCCCATTTATTGGATTTAAGAGATTTAACCAGAAATGTGGTTAACTTACAAGTTTTAACATAATGTGTGGCCAAAATCTGAGCATTTTTTCTGAGCTAAGAGAATAAGCAGGACTGATCATGTAACTTGGATAACTTATTAATTTGATTTAGAGGAAATAGAAAGTAACTATTGCCCAATGTTTAAGAAAAAATTTCTTTTAGTACCTTTATATTTTCTGAGGAGAGGCAGGCCCATGAGGAAGACTACAAATAATTTTTAAAATTCTACTATACATTTCATGGCTCTTTGACAGAATTAATAAGAGGAAAATGGCATAATCATGGATAAATTTATAATTGAATACATTTACTTCTCATTCCAGATCATAATTTGCACAAACGAAGCACTTTGACTTCAGAATATGTGCATACATAAAAACCCTCAAAATGAAATGTTAATTTAGCATTCCTGGTGATGGTAGCAATACACCATACCATTTTTTCAAATGCCTTTTCTTACTCCTGCCAGTGAGGAAACACTGGTCCCAATTCATCTCCTCAGCTGCAGCGGCAGGAAAAGGTCAACAGAGCAATTTGGCTGTAGCCTCAAGCTTGGGAGGCCTCACATTTTGGCCATTCTTCTGTTGCCTGGTTGTGGCAAGGGGAGCGAGAGAAACCTCATCAAAGTTTTTTATCTAAATTGAAATCTATCAATCCCAGGCACTAGCTCAGTCTAAGAATGGGGAACAAGTCCCTTTGTGGAAGGTTTCGGAGCACCTACCTGATACCTCTCTGTCCTCCTCAACATTCAGTACATATATAAAAGGATGAAACATGTGAGTCCAGACACTAAAATCATGAATGTGAATAGAGCTGTAGTAGCCCAGACTTTTCCTCTCCCCAGTTTACCCCACTGTATACCTCCAGTGATTATATGTAAGTGGACAAGGTTCTGAATCAGTAAGAATAGCTAAATAGAAACTATTGTCCCAATGACTTACTGCACTTGTTTAGATCTCAATTTGAAAAGGAAAGGTTCTATGATATTGACAACAAACTATTTCTCATTTATGAATGAATTTTTATGTCCTCAGGTCCTGGGTTCCGGACTGAGCTCTGTGGGGATAAATGTCATCAGGTATAATCCTTGTTCTTTACTCAGCTATGTATAACAAATCAAAGTAGAGTTTTTCATGAAAAGACAGGAGAAAGTCTGCCTGTACGAGCATATAAGTCCATGTATCCTGTATGAAAGTCAGCAGGATTTGATCATTTGAACCACTTCCTTCTTCACTGATTTGAAATCTTCCCTTCAACCATCCCCATACTTGCTATGCACTCAGTTAAGGGAATTTTGTCCAAGACAAAGCTCAGAAAAAGAAGTAGAGACTTTCAACCCCAAATATGTTGTTCAAATATTTAGTGTGATATGCACCAACATAATCAGAGACTACATAAAATAATGTTCAAAATTTAGACCGAACAACTCTCTCCTTGGTGCTATAGTAACTAACAAGTGCCTTCCCAACTCCTGCACCTCTGCTCGGGGCCCAGAGAGCTGAGTATGGGGCAATCAAAGGGTTAAACCCTTGTCCTTCCCAGTCTTTGCTATTATTATAACCCATTGTCAGAAGTCTTCCTCCCCCCCCCCACCACAATCACAGATATTTTACTTGTGGCATGGGAAATTAAACTAATTAAGGGTCAAAGCACAAACAACATACTTTTCACCCCAAAACTTCATTCTACTTGGTACTTGTCCTGTTGATCCCTTGTTATCATTACATAATCTATTTATTACACTTACCTTCTTCTGCACCCAATGAGCCCTCATAGGTCTTCTTCCTCTGCCTGAGGATTTTTCTTGTATCCATTGTTTTCTCTTCATTCCTGCCAATTTAACCCGGGGGTAAGCCTTTGTTATACAGACAATTTCCTTTTTTGGACTGTACTGTTTTTGGAAGCACTGATAATAGTTTGTGCCTCTTCACATCCTCTATCTCGATGGTATCTGCTCATGGAAGACCTGCAAGATGCTTGTTAGAGAGTTTTTATTTTGCATCATACAACTGCTGCACAGAAATGGTTTGACTTTCCCTCAGATTCAAATGTCCTTATATGCCTTTTAAACTATCTGTTTAAAATTCCTGAATGTATTCTTGCAGTTAGCTAGAAGATAAAGACATATGACAAATGACTAGTTTATGAGTTATTTGGTTATGAACCCATTGGTAACTGATATTAAAACGCACACGCTAGATTACTAAAATGACTATTTTAGAAAAACAGGAGCTGTTATTTTTAAGCCAATGAGATAGAGTGGCCCGTTTTGGTCTTGGTTAATAATGTCCCTAAATTTATTCCTCAGCTGTTCATATGCCACAAGCTAGCACCAGTCAAGCATAGCAGTGCCAGATGTATGCACTTTTCATTCTGAAATGAGGACATAAATGACTCGTGAGAGCCCTTCGGCTGGTTGACGTAGCATATCTGTGGGGAAGTCAGCGTCCCAGATTCGTGCGTGAGCAAACTCCTTTTGTGTGTTGATGGGGAAGTCACAGCTGACAAGTTCCCGTGACCGACCACTCTTTCTTTGAGGGTGTTCTCTTTGGTTTCATATGATCTTTGAGCATTGCAAACTGGTTATTGACAGGATCTGTTTTAATATTTTCCTCATTTAGACTGCTCACGTAAGTCAAGGAAGAGCACTCGCTGGAATCGACACACTGGATGTTTGTTAGCCAAAATATATCATGTTTGTCAGAAACAGGAAAACAGATTTCATATAATAAAAATAGCTAAA